AGAGAGAGAGAGAGAGAGAGAGAGAGAGAGAGAGAGAGAGAGAGAGAGAGAAAGAGAGTCACAAAGGCTGCGACGACGACAAAAATAGAATAAGAAGACCTTCAGATTTATAAACCTTGGATCGGGAACGGCCTTTGAAATGTACCATGGTTTCGTCAATGCAAAGTCCTGTTGTGCTTTTCACAAGTTAAAAAAAAACAACTGTCTCTTGTAGATTCGGGATAAATTAAATGTTTTATCTTTTATGTCATGAAAAAGTTCTCCGTAGTCCACTTGTGCTATGTTGTTTGACATATGAAACAAGAAGAGAGAACTGTCAAGAAACCTTTTCTTTGCAAGTACATCATTATTCAGCAGACAGATGAGTGCAAGTGTGGGCTTCCAGGGCCGTGGTTGCAGAGTGTCAGTATCTTGAGTATACCAATGGGAAAGAAAATAGATCACAAAAAATCATTCCATTTCTACAAGATTATCTGGTTTCTTGGTTTTGCAACGTAAACGACTTACCAAGGTTTGCAGATCTTTGCCATTGGTCCCTTTCCCATCTTGTCGTTTTGTTTTAGTTTTATACAAGTTTACAAACGCCTCTGTAATGACCAGCCAGTAAAATATCTGATGCAAACGGTTGTTTGGATTGTGAGTTTTTGATTCCACCGAATACATGTACCACTAGTACCAGTAAACCGAGAAGCGCGGGGAAAGTTGTTTGTGTTTCGAGCCCACAGTATTTTATCTTCTAATCCCTCCTCTTATTCTTATTCATTTTTTTGTCTTTCTATACTCTCCTTTACAGCTCTACAGCATATCCGTCGCCATATCGTAATTTCAACAACCGGTCAGTCCTATCGTCCATCATCTCATTATCAGTGTCTATGCATTCTAATCTCACGCATTCTCGATTCACTACTGGTTGCTTCTTTGGCAAAAATTTAACGGTTATGCTTTATAGTCAACCGGCATAGTATCCTCATCTTTTCAAAGACTCCTTTGAGAGTGAGTCTTCTCAGCGTCGGTCTAAGCGCCACAACTTTCAGCGATTATCGTATGAAAAAGGTCCCGGGAACGCTCTGGAAAGTGACCTAAGAAATTCGCCGGTAAATCGAAAAGTGTTCAAGCAACTCAACTTCTGACAACAAGAAACAATTCCAAAATGGTATCTGAATACTTGTTGAAATTTTGAAAGTGAAAAACGAAAAGGCAAACTTTTTGTTGCATGCACAAGTATGTGAATCCAGGGTGGCGCGCCACGTCCTGAAAGGTTGTGAAATAGCGCGCGCCAAAGAGGAGCGGTACGTTCCGAGGTAATATAAAAACAGCGCGCCTTCGTGGAGCGACGCGTTGCGAAAAGGTTAACGAAAGTCACGTAGGCCTAGTTCTTATAATATGTAATCAAATCAATCTCCCAAGAGATATCGAGAAACACACACACACACACACACACACACACACACACACACACACACACACACA